TACACAAGAGCACGTCACGCATGCGTACTTCTGTTTATACGTGCGTCTACTAACCCGCATGTAACCCTATTTGGGAATCAAGTTTGGAGAGAAATATGTTAACTTAATTAAAATGTATATGCATGATGTGTGCAGGTTATAGAATTGTAGATTTTATGTATGCAAATATTGATCTGATGTCTTGTATTTCACAATAGGGTAAGCGAGGAGGAAAGTTTATTCCTTTTTCATTTCCTGCATAATTTTGTAGAAAAAGGCTGGAGTTATGATTAAGAGTGGGAAAAACAAGCTGTACATATTTACCAGGCATACTCTCAGTGAACTGTAAATAGAATAACCAAGACTAGTATGGCAGCGAGAAATAATTCAAGTTTTAAATATATCAATATACAGAGTGCTACAAAGTAGAAAATTTTCAGTCTAGTGTGACATACAAGTTTACAACATTTCAGTCTTTATTCACCTGACAAGTTTCGATTAAAAAAAAATCATCCTCAGAGGCGCACCACTACTATCAGGAAACACTGTCACATAAGATGTTTTGAGTGTTTCCTGATCGTAGTGGTGCGCCTCTGAGGATGATTCCTTTGAATCGAAACATGTAAGGTGAATAAAGACTGAAGTGTTGTAAACTTATATGTCACACTAGACTGAAAATTTTCTACTTTGTAATTAATAGTGTGACGGACCAGAATGAGATAAATCAAAATACAGGGTGTTTCACTACTTTAGGTCATAACTGCAGGAAGTGATTTCCTAGTTCTTTGTGATCAAAAAGTTCATATAAACATGTGTCCGATTTTGGACGGTTACGGAGTTATGATCGTTTATCATTCCCGTACACGACCTCGTGTGAACCACGTTTATCATCTGACGGGTCGCTATTTTTAGCCAGCTACAGACAGACCGTTCTCGTTATCTCGACACTTGAGAGCTATCTAAGGCGGGGTGGGTTGGTATGTCCGGTGCGGTTCACAACCGAGCGATAGCCTGTGTTGCGGCCGGCGGTGACATTTTCGAAAATCAGTTTTAAGCACCAGTCAACTCAAATTAAAGGTAATCTCAAGAAATTAACTTTACATTCATACGTTAAATGTATCATGTATTATGCTGGTTTATCATTTTGTTCCATTTATTATCAGTAATCGTTACCTTCTATTCTGAGATTAAAACGGTCATAACTCCGTAACCGTCCAAAATCGGACACATGTTTATATGAAATTTTTTGATCACAAAGACCTAGGAAATCACCTTCTGCAGTTATGACCTAAAGTCGTGAAGCACCCTGTATACGTAAATGTGGTGGACAAGAGGAGAGTATACAGGATATTGATGGGAAAGTCAGAAAGAGAGAGTTCACTGGAAATAGCAAGAAATAGGTGGGTGGACAATAACAAAAGTGATCTTGGAGAGATAAGAATGGATGGTATAAATTGGATTGATCTGACTCAGTACAGGGACCAGTGCAGGGCTATTGTGAACACGATAATACACATTCGGGTTCCATAAAATACTGGGAAGTTCTTGAGTAGCTGCACAATTGGCGGTTTCTCAAGAAGGGCTCAGCTCCATGAGTGAGTGCGAACAATATTAAGAGAGAAATATCCACGAAGGACGAAAATTGAAACCTACCTGTACAAAAGTATACAACCTCATATCGTCGCGTCCGACTCTACATCTTGTGGGCTTCTGGGTAACGAGAGATGATTACGGAAGATTTAGGGGGGAATTATTGCTTCCAACTTCTAGGCAGAAGTAATTTATGTAAGCCTCTTGCTGTGCAGACGAGGTGCGGACACTACTGGCCTCAGTCACACAAGAACTGGCCAATCAGTAGCAGGGCAGAAGACCCTGAGAGGGGGCAATTACAGAGGAGCGCCACCCTGCCCTTCGTGACCAGCTTTCTCTCACACCTCTTACAAATTTTGTTACTTTCCCAACTTGGGACACTGGAGCCCAAAACATGTGGGCAGTAAAGGTGAAGCTTTCCCTATGCTTAACTAAATAAGCACTACGCAATGGAGATGTGTGGGGGAGTGGATGCATACATCCACATTTTCTCTACTTAGGCACTAGCTAGAGATGCGTGGTCAGCTTCACGCCCCGGGCGCTTTACCCCAGGTAACCATTGCATAGGTAGTTGGGTGCACCCCAGAATCGATCTGGACGACGTGAAGAAGAGAAAATTCCTGACCCTTCCGGGACACGAACTCCAGCACCTGTATACCAACTACGCTATTCCAGCTCCGAGATGAGGACAGTAAGTACGTCATTACCCAGACTCATTTATACACCCTCGTTCTCTTGGTGTTGGGTTATCTTTGGGTTAGAATTAACTTAACGCTCCTAAGGCAATGATAAAGCTGCCCCTGTACTTAGGCACCACGCCATGACCTTCACTATTCTTGTTCTGGGCACTGTGTGCAGGTGAGGGGTCAACTTGAGGCCCTGGTCACTTAACCTCCCGGGGAAACAGATCCCCCTCCCTAAGCATTGTGCAGGAGACTGGATGGGCCCCAGTCTGAGTACTGTGGGGAACAGGAACATTTCTTGCCCCTGACGCGAATCGAAACAGGTCGCCCAGCCCCTCACTCCTCGCTATACAGACTGAGATATCCTCAAATTCATCTGAAAGCGATTATACTTGTATTTTAATTCCAAACAGCATCGTCATTACAGAGACATACTGATCTATGCTGTTCAATGAAATTCGAGTAGTTGCTGTTTGTTGGGAAGATCATACCGAATAAATAAGTATATTTTGTGAGGAAACTTAATAGATTTTTAATATTATAGCAGTTGTTACAGAGGCCAATATCTACCATTGTGCAATACTCTATTGAAGCATCTTGTTGCGTTAATACATCTAATAAAGTTCACTGTACTAGACAGTCCGTCAACAATGCAAAAAATTGTTCCTTATTTCTTACACACTCACATATGACAGAACATGTCACGGCCCTAAATCAATAACTTCAGATGTCTAACAATTCTGAAACTGCTATATTGCACTAATATTGTCCATTCGTCGGATATGTCACTGCGAGCTTCATGATTTAAATCGACACACTCCTAGACAATTGGTATGCGCTACAACAGAACACTCTGTAGTTCGCTTAATTTAAACCAACAAAAATCACTATAATTTGTATTCATATTTTCTGTTATAAATCTTTTTCGGTTTGAAAATTCTTATTACACCTCACAAGGGGCGACGTCCACTTGTTTAGATCTGTATCCTCTAATCCAGACGTTTAATGCGGCAGCCTGTTTTTCTATTCGTAATCCCGTTGTTGTGTTACGTCTGCAATCTGTAATTGTGTCCCTAGCTTGTGCGTTGGTCCCTCTTGCAGCGTGTGCTGTTGTCTTCATTACAGGACTTCGAAGATCAAAAAGCCAGCAAACCCGAGATACACGCACCAACGTCAGGACCGTTTAGAATCTTCCAGACTGAAGGTTTTTGAGAATGGTGCTAAGACGAGGAGAAAGTAACAAGGGGATGGGAAAGCACTGTACAGGATGACGGGACTTCCCATAATGTATACTCTGCAAGGAATATTATTAGGATGATTACATTAAGGAGGAGCGGATGGGTTGGACATATAGCACTCTAAGAACTGATGATAAATACATACAAATTTGGCAATGCTCAGCTTCTTATCTAACTCGATTCTTGTTAAGTCGACAATCGAAGGAAATACCTAAGCAGTTGAGACGACTTCAGGTTTCCACAAATATTCCTTGCAAGGATATGTTACACGTTATAAATGCTCAGAGAAGAAGATGACATTGAAATTGACGTAGTAATGTTCATAATTTAATACTTCAGACACACACACATGTTATTACAGGCTACTGTTAACAGGAAAAGCATGAGAGTTCGGGTATAAATTTATTACAAGAATAAATATGATACATACTGTAACGTGTTTTGCTACTGAAGACGCCGTTCAGATTGTTAATTGGTTTATTTAACAACCTACAAGTCTTGGCTACAATTAATTATAACACTGTTACGGGTTTACACAAGTTACAACCCTACACAATTATCTGTCCACTCTGTCCTCAGTATTCACAGTACGGGAGCTATACAAGTGTCACTGTATTACACACTCCCAGTTACTTCTCTTGTGAGCCAAGCAGCTGCTTCTCACGCTATCACTTCTACTCACACGTTCCGGTATTCTTCTTTCCGGTCGGCTACTCTTCCATCCGCACTGTGTCACTCCAGCTCACAGACTGACTGAATGCTGACTCCCTGGCTAACTCGTAAGTCACTGTGAATAGTGTTCGCTGCTCCTTATTTAGCCCCGTTACGGACAACAAAGAAAACAGTTACGTAATAGGCACCACTGTTGCGTAACTTCGTGTTTACCGACTGCCTAGGAACAGTCCCCGTCGTGTTTACAAAGGCGCTGCTGGGCAGCGGTGCCGGGAGTTGTTTACGTCTACGTAGCAACTGCGACGTCACGTGTTACATCACCGCGGGGAAAGGGGTGTCTACCGAGCGTTGCACACTGATAGAATGAAAGGGGGTATGTGACGTCACTCGCAAGATCACGGTGTTCACGCGACCCCCGCCTTCCACTGGGAGTACCTTAATCGTTAAAATCCATTACCAGCATTAATTTGCATTTCAAATAATGGCAAGAGAAGACTGTGACTACAAAATAACGTGAAGGAACTATGAAAATGTCTGTAAACATACGTCTTTCTGGTTCGGATTTTGAGCGAGGGGCGGAGAGCATTCATGCATGTTTTCCCGCCGAAACGGAGGGTTACAGCGGCTCTGTTCATGACGAACTACGAGAGAGCACAAATCTGTCCCGAAACTTGACAAGCAGTGGCTGCTTTTGTTGCGTCCGAACATGGTTGTGCGTCAAAAACGAATTGGACGTCGACGATGACGTTTATGACAAGAGTTAGCCAGAAAACACGGGAGACGGCATGAATCACCCTCTTGACTGGTCCACCGGCATCTGCTTCGAGTGGATAAGAAGATGGGTACGTGAGAATATCACAACAAACGGCGACGGCCACAGCACACCCAACGTCGAGGGTGGTATCTCAGCAATCGACGATTTCAGCTGACCAGTGACCTGCGATGGCGAGAGCACAGCCAGCGGCAAGGACGACATCACACACAACGACGACGGCCAGAGCAGAGCCAAGGGCGCGGGTGAACGCCCAGCGAAAAACGACAGCGAAAGCCCAGTGACCAGCGATGGCGAGTGCAACAGCACACATAACGACGACGGCGAGAACACACTCAACAGCGAGGGTGACCGCCCAGCGAAGGACGAACGCGACAGCCCAGCAATAGCCGACGACTACAGCCCAGCGAACGACAGCGAAAGCCCAGAGACCAGCGAAGGCGAGGGCGACAGCACACATAACGACGACGGCGAGAACACAGTCAACGGCGAGGGTGACCGCCCAGCGAACGACGACAGCGACAGTACAGAGATTGCCGACGACTACAGCCCAGCGAACGACAGCGAAAGCCCAGTGACCAGCGATGGCGAGGGCGACAGCACACGTAACGACGACGGCCAGAACACAGTCAACGGCGAGGCTGACAGCCCAGCGAAAGACGACCGCAACAGGCCAGCGATAGCCGACGACTACAGCCCAGCGAACGACAGCGAAAGCCCAGTGACCAGCGATGGCGAGGGCGAGAGCACACATAACGCGACGGCGAAACACAGTCAAGGGCGAGGGTGAACGCCCAGCGAACGACGACCGCGACAGCCCAGCGATAACCGACGACTACAGCCCAGGGAACAACGACAGCGAAAGCCCAGTGACCAGCGATGGCGAGGGCGACAGCACACATAACGACGACTGCCAGAACACGTTCAACGGCGAGGGTGACCGCCCAGCGAACGACGACCGCGACAGCCCAACGATAGCCGACGACTACAGTCCAGCGAACGACAGCGAAAGCCCAGTGACCAGCGATGGCGAGGGCGACAGCACACATAACGCGACCGCGTGAACACAGACAACGGCGAGGGCGACAGCCCAGCGACATCACGGGGTTCACGCGGCCCCCACCTCCTTCTACGCCATTCACGTCACAATATATTAAATATTGTGACGCATTTGCACTATGCAAGACCCCCCCCCGGTCAGCGGTGACATAACACTTTCGGAGCGTTGCATTTTCTATGCTAATAGGCCAGTCACCAATCCGTCACCTCCCGCGGTGACGTAGCATTGGATGCCGCCGTTGCTATTCAGCAGTAAACAACTCCCGACAGTTTTGCTAGGCTATCGGCAATCACGGCGCCAGACAACAGTGGTTCCTATTACGTGGCTGTTTTCTGTGTTGTCCAGAATGGGGCTACATAGGAAGCAGCAAAGACTATTCGAGAGACGAGTTGGCCAGGGAAGAGTATCCAGTCAAGTAATTCTAATATTGCAGATAGCAGTAGCTATGAGATTGTAAACTGTGTGACTGTACCAGCGAGTGTGAAATAAAATTCGCGATATCAAATAAGGCGTGAAGTTATTTGTCGCGTTATACACCCAACACTTGACAATTTTCTGTTTGAATTGGTTTACGAACTTGAACACGCCTCGACGAATAATTGAATTTACGAGTGCATCTACTATTATACTCCCACGATGGAGATGGAAGAAATGATCGAATGCCTGCTGGCGAAATTGGACGCCGAATCCAAAGCCTGGCGAGAAGGGATGGCTGTAGGAAGAGAAGCCTTCTGAGCAGAGACGAGAGCCATCGAAGCAAGGACGAAAGTCATGCTAGAAAATATCGCCACCAGCCACAAGGGGTTGGCTGCCGAAACGAAACCAGATAGAGACATGGAGACATTTGCCTGCCTAGAAATGGAGGCAAATCCAGAAGGAGAGCCGGCGTCATTGGACATGAAACTTGAGGTGGCAGAACAACGAGAGGTACCCGTAAAAGACGCCGAATTAATGCCGGTTGGAGAACCGAAGAACAAAGGCGTAGGGACCGAAACAAGTGACGAAATATGAAGAATTCTACACGGGGAAATTGTGGACCCCAGAATAAGTTGGCCGTAACCCGCAGAGGTACAAGCCGCAGTGAGGAAGTGGCACAGCGAAAGAAAACCAGCAGGAAGGTGTCTTGCCATGTAACAGTGGCATGGCGTCGAAGGAACACCTTTAGGAAATGTTGCACCCGAGCAAATTATGACTCCCGAATGAAGTTGGCTGCCGCCTGCAGGAAGATATCCCGTCGCGCGACAGTGGCACGACGTTGGAGAAATGCCTTCAAGAACGAAACTCAACAGGGAACCTTCGGATGCCGGAGAAAGGAATTAGCCGTCGACAATTGTCTACGCCGTCTCTTCAAGCAGCCTTATGAGGAGTCTCAAAAATTGCGGGGTGCCCGTAGCAGCGTACAGAAATCAGTAGTGGGCACGGTTACGCAACGTTCTCGTACCAGCAAATGGCTGGAAGACCAGGAAGAACGGCGTCAACAAGTGCGGACCACGCCTGAAGTGCTGTTACATCGACATAAAGAACTTCTCAGGGAATTCATAAACAATGACTGGACACTGTGGAGGGGTCGTCGCAATCCAAAACGGATAAAGAGACCTCAAGTATAGGAGGAACCGGTAATGTAGAAGAACCGGCCTCCCGAGGAAGAATGAATGTGCGACGAATCAGTGTGACACAACTGGAGCTTCTGGCAACTTAGGAGGAAATAGCTCGAGACGAGCTGGTCTCAAGAGGGGAGCGGTTGTAACGGAAAGAGAATAGTCGCTGCAAGGAGTAGCCGAAATAACAGGAGACGCAGAAAGCACATCCTTTGAAGAAAAGGAAAGGGGATGTACGGTTAGGCTGTTCGGGATGAACAACCTTTAGAAGGGAGCAGTGTGACGCATTTGCGCTATGCATGACACCCTCTCCCCCATCAGCGGTGACGTAACACATTCGAGCGTTGCCGTTGCTACGCTAATGGTCCAGTAAACAATCCGTCACCTCCCGCGGTGACGTAACAGGGGATGCCGCCGTTGTTACTCAGCAGTAAACAAATCCAAACAGCGTTGCTAGGCTATGGGAAACACGGCGCCAGACAACAGTGGCACCTATTACGTGGCTGTTTTCTGTGTTGTTCGGAACAGGGCTAAATATGGAGCAGCGAAGACTATTCGAGAGACGAGTTGGCCAGGGAAGAGTATCCAGTCAAGTAACTGTAATACTGCTGAGAGCAGTAGCTGTGAGATTCTAAACTGTGTGACTATACGAGCGAGTGTGAAATAAAATTCGCTATGTCAAATAAGGTGTGAAGTTATTTGTCGCGTTATACACCCAACACGTGACAATATTAAAACACTCAGCACAAAGACAGAAATGAATGGGGTATAAAATAATCTGACCTAGTTACAGGGGATTCTGATTCAGTGTAATATATTGTGACGTATTTGCGCTATACAGGACACCCCTCCCCCAAGCGGTGACGTAACACATTCAGCGTGTTGCCCCTGCAACGGTAATAGGCCAGTCAAAACCCGGCCCCCTCCCGTGGTGACATGACCAAGGATTGCCACGGTTGCTATGCAGCAGTAAACAACTCCCTACAGCGTTGCTAGGCAATCGGCAAACACTACGTCAGGCAACAGCTGTATCTATCACGTATCTGTTTTCTGTCTTGTCCGTTCCGAGACTAAATAAGGAGCAGCGAACATCATTCAGTAGTGGATGGTGAGTCAGTAGTTAGTAGTGAGTGATTAGTTAGTAAGTAGCTAGTATTGAGCCAGTTACTAGAGAAAGAGTAACCAGTTAATTGCAGTCAAGTATTTGTGATACTGCGATGGCAGTAATTGTGAGGTTGTAAATTGTGTGATTGTAAGAGTGAATGTGCAATAGATTCGCTATATCGAATACGGCGTGAAGTGCTTTGTCGCGTTATACACCCAACATGTGAAAATATTAGCTTGCGGGGAGGTGTGAACCCTCTTTCTGAGGACAACTGATGGTAGCCTCTGCCTCAATGGGGTTAGGAGAAAGTGATGTTCACACAGATCTTCTAACTGCTTGGAGAGGGCACGCATCAAGTTCACTTCAATGGGGTCTCTGGGTCTGCGGAGAGGATGCACGGGCCTCAGTAACAATGGCAGGAAGCCCCCTATTGCCCCTAGTTGTTGCACTGGTTTATTCTGTATCAGTGTTGTTTCTTGGGAATTATTCTTCTAATTTCAGCAGCGAATCAGGTGCTTAGCTCTCGGTTTCTTGGTAAGATAGGAGCTGGAAGCGAAATGCTTTCCTGGAAAAATTTCTATCGCCAGCGGCCCAAAGCACTCATACATAACGAGGATAATCCAACTCAGCACATGCCACAGACTGCAGTACCGCATTGTTTGTAGCTGTTCATGGAACTTGCGTGAAATTCCCTCCGCTTATTCCAAGTCGGTGTTACTCAGATCTTGTTCGTCCAAGAAGTCGGGAGGCACGATCACATCCTTTGGAATACCCATGCTTGAATTACGGAGTTCGTGAGACGTAAGTTTACAGACATTTTCGTAGTTCCTTCACGTTATTTCGTAGTCACAGTCTTCTCTTGCGCTTGGTTGAAATGCAAATTAATGCTGGTAAAGGATTTTAACGATGAAGGTACTCTCCTGTAGAAGGGAGAGACTTGGATGGCGTAGCGACAGGTGGGGGTCCTGTGAACTATGTGATCTCTCTGTGGCCCGTCGCTGGGCCGTCGCCCTCGCCGTTGGCTCTGCTTTCGCCGTCGTCGTTGTGTGTGATGTCGCCCTCGCCAACGCTGGTCACTGGGCTTCCGCTGTCGTTGTTCGCTGGGCTGTAGTCGTCGGCTATCGCTGGGCTGTCGCGGTCTTCGTTCGCTGGGTGGTCACCCTCGCCGCTGACCGTGTTCTGGCCGTCATCGTTATGTTTCCTATCGCCCTCGCCATCGCGGGTCACATGGCTGTCGCTGTCGTTCTTCGCTGGGCTGCAGTCATCGGCCATCGCTGGGTTGTCGCGGTCGTCGTTCGCTGGGCGGTCACCCTCGCGGGTGACCTTGTTCTGGCCGTCGTCGTTATGTGTGCTGTCGCCCACAAAATCGCTGGTAACTGGGCTTTCGTGTCGTTGTTCGCTGGGCTATAGTCGTCAGCTATAGCTGGGCTGTCGCGGTCGTCGTTCGCTGGGCGATCACCATCGCCGATGACCGTGTTCTGACCGTTGTCGATATGTGTGCTGTCGCCCTCGCCATCGCTTGTCACTGGGCATTCGCTGTCGTTGTTCGCTGGGCTGCAGTTGTCGGCCATCGCTGGGCTGTCGTGGTCGTCGTTCGTTGGGCGGTCACCCTCGCCGTTGACTGTGTTCTCGCCGTCGTCCTTATGTGTGCTCTCGAACCCACCATCGCTGGTTACCGGGATTTGGCTGTCGTTGTCCTCTGGGCGGTAATTGTCGGTTATCGCTGTGCTGTCGCGGTCGTCGTCATCAGAAATGCTCTGATGTTGCTGAGTATTTCCTGATGTTCTGACTCACTCCCGAAACCGTCTGGAGGCAGTGGAAGCAGACGAGTTTCTGTTGCATGTTTGAATGTCTGAGAAGCGTAGCCAAGAGGAATTTCAACGGGGTTCATGAATGGATGCAATATATATGGACAAATACCGTCTTAAGTGCAACAATTTTATTGTGGTTTTTACTTCTTTTTCCTTCTCCACACTACATGTTTCGGCCCTAAATGGCCATCATCAGGTGTGTATCACTCACGTAGC